GAGGCTGAGGGGAGACCTCCTGGCCCTCGGCAACTCCCTGCCAGGAGGGGGCAGAGAGGGGGGATGAGTCTCTGGAGCCAAGGCCCCAGCGCCAGGCCCCGAGGGAATGGCCTCAAGCTGCCCAGGGCAGGGTCAGGCTGGCTCTGAGGAAGGATTTCTGTGCAGAAGGGGCTGTTGGGCGTTGGAATGGGCTGCCCAGGGCAGGGGGGAGTCCCCGGGATCCCTGGGGGGGTTGAAGAGTCGGGCTGAGCCAGCGCTGAGGGATCTGGGGGAGTTGGGAACGGTCAGGGGGAGGGTCATGGTTGAGCTGGAGGAGCTGCGAGGGCTTTTCCAACCTAGACGATTCTGTGATAACATAAATGATCCTCAATCATCTTTATACCACCCTTACTGATATTTAAAAGTACAGTCTCTTTTACTTTAGATTGCTGTGGTTTTCTTCTGGTTGTGTGTCTAACTGAGTTTGGATTATGAAATTTAGTAGAAAACTGATTATTTTTATAACTAACACCACACACAGAGGTTTTCATGGCCAAACCTGCCAGATGAATTCCCAGCAGTGCTCTCAAACTGCAATAACAGAAACATTAAAGTAACCACAGATGATAGGGAAACAAACTTCTTCATAGATTTTTTTTCTTAGATGCACAAGGGTTTTTTTTAAATCTATAGACATTGAGCAACATACAGTATTGCATGCCACCAGAGATGGCTTTTCTTCCTGAAGTTCTTCCAGTGCAATGGCAGAAAGAATGTTAATTCCCACTATCCCGACCATTTTTCAGTTGAGTGCTAATTATTTGGTCCCTCTTACACCTGCCATAACTTCAGTATTCTCAGCAACTCTCACTTGTGAGTGTTCCCTCAAGCAGGACAGTACAAAGAGACCAGAAATTTGTGGTATTATACAGGTAAATGTAAAAATCACACTAGTCTGCCAAGGTGTTTGGAGCCATAATCCTATTGAAAATGGAATTGTGATCATCAAATTTTACATATTGTACCTAAATCTGTTCTACTCCATCACTCGTTGCCGCTCAAGAAAATGGTTCCATTTGAGGATATTAAGAAGATCCTAAGGGATACCTGGAGATGTCAAATCTGTAAAATAAACAGTCCTAAAAATCCGTCCACTGCAAAGTAAAATGATGGGAAGTTACACCTCCTGAACCCCACCACGGCTTTGGCTGGTGTATGACACTGAAAACGTGCAACGCAAAGTGACTTCCCAGCCTCAGCCTGGGGGAGAATCACCAGGGCTGGCCCCTGGTTTATTTTCTCTACTCCCAGCCCCTTTTTCCTTTCCTTTCCTTCTACTCTTTCCTCCAGGATTTTTCATGCCTGAAATTAAAGCCCGCTCCCAAACCACGAGGCCGGGGAGCACAGCACAGCAGTGCTAAACCACCCCCAAGCCTGTGAGCGTTGCCTATGGGTTCCTACTGAAAAAAAAAAAAAAAATCTACATATATATATAAGGAGACTTTTTAGGTTTTACCTTGCAGGTTATTGACAATTTGGTGCTGGAGCCGGTATGGGCGAGCAGGAGTGCCCGGCTGCACATTCAAGTGCATTATTTCAATTAGCCGAGCGCTCTTTGTTGCAAGGTGAAATCCTTCACTCCCCGGGAAAGCTTTTTTATTGAATGCTTTCTAAATACTTGCATCGGTCACGTCGCCTGGAATTGAGTCTCTGTCACTAGTATTTCCGCGGTGACTTTGACCAGATCAATGACTGGAAAAGGCATTAAGGACACATTGATACCGCGGGGTAGGAGACAAGCGGGGCTTGGGTTTGGGTCTCGGTAGTAAAGAGAAACCGATAATGAGCAGATAAACGGCTTTTCTTAACCCTTGGCGCTCTCGGGAGGCTTCAGCAGGTCCGCTGGCTCTTCCTCTCCACCCCGGCTCGTAAAGCCGAGCGGTGGCAAGGCGAATCTCCCCCGGGTAGTCCAGAAATCTGGAGTGAAACGCGGTCAGGATAACGAGGAGCCTCTCCTGGGGCGGGCGGGGGCAAAGCAGTCCCGGGAGAGCCTGCGCCTGTGAAAAGTTGCTTTCCAACTCATTTAGGATTTGGTTTCCGAGCTTGAGCCGTGGTGCAGGAGCCAGCGGGGAAACAAACTCTGGAGACACTTTCAATTCAGCATCTGACCTTTTCCCGGGTTCCCGACACCAGAAAATCGCGTTTGTCAGGCGGGGGGAGGCGGTGGGGGCGAGTGCGGACCGGCAGCGGGCTCGGGAAGCAAAGCTGCTCGTAGCCACGACTCTCCCCATCCCCATTGCCCTAGCAAGAGAAAAAAACGTGTTTGAAACCACTACCACAACCTGCAGGGAGTTGGAGCCCCCTCATTTTATTTTTTTTTCTTTCCCCTGAAACACCAGCACTTAATAAAGTAGTTAGAATAGAAAGGTCTGAGGGTTTGGGTTTAGTTTTCTTAAATTCCTGCGGTTCTGGGAGCGGGGGGGGGGAAGCCCTGCCGGGGAGGCTTCTGCCTCGGCACCCGGAGGATGCTCCGAGCCCTCCCTGAACCAGGGCGAGACGCTCCAGCCCTGAACGCGGAAACCTTCGGCTCTTTTCGCCCGTCCCGGCTTTTCCCATTTGGCTGAAGCTCGAGGAAACGGGGATTTTATTGAACCTGGAGTCCAAGGACGCTCCCTCTCACACTTCACCGTCTTAATAAAGTTGGGAAGTGCCTACTTTTGCAGCTTGCTTACCAAATCCTGAATTAATAAAGTTTACTTAGTTATTTAAATAGATTAAATGTCATATTTTAAATGGAAGGGGAAGGCTCTACCTTACTGACCTATTTTTCATTTCTGATTTAGAAAAAGGCAAGATTAGCATGGATATTGCATTTTCAAGGACCTCGCCACTATTAAATAGACTGTTAAGTGCATTTTATGGCTGAAGAGTCTGTTCCCAGTTCAGTCTGGAAGACGTGCTAAGTTCATCTCTACCTGCTACATTGAACATTCACTGACTAAAATACTTTCTGTGGATGTAATACCTATGCTCTGTATCTTTTAAGTACATAACGCTTAATGTTTTAGGACTAGTAAAACGTAATTCAATAAAAGCCCCTAAAATAGAAGTGTTGGCTCGCGAGAAAACCGGATCGCGGGGTTTTGGGCCCAATTGCACAAATTCCCGGCTCGGTGAAGAGGTGAGACCAGGGGAGGGGACGCTACGGGGATGACACGGATGCTCACGGCTCCGGACCGAGTCTCCCGCGGAGATTTAAGCTCCGCGGAAGTTTAAGCGGGCGTTTATCAAACGCAGCCCCCCGGGGGATGAGCCATGCCCCGAGCCGAGCCTTGTCCGCAACCGCGGACCCGCGGGGTGGGGCGGCGTAACTTCCGCGCTGTTTCCTCGGCCTCTGCCTTTTTTTAAATCTCTCGGAAACGCACCCCCAAAATGGCGAGGCTGGTTTGCTGCCTTCCCGGACCAGGCTGACCCCCCCTCCGGGAGCCGGCGAGGATGGTCCCAGGCTCGACGGAGCTGTGGCAAAACTGCCCCATCAGCCCCAGGAGGCAAAATCCTACCGAATTCCCCGGTCCCCTGCCCCCCTGCCCCCGAGCCGCGGGGGACGGGGAGGAAGAACCCCCCCTCACTCCCCTAAAGTAAATCTCTGTTGTATTTTTCCCGGAGTGGGAGACCCCCGAGGGCGCCACGAAGGGTGAGGGATGGCGCTTCCCACACCGAAATACTCGCCCCTTTCCTTTGTCACTGGCCCAGCAC